ACGGGTATCGCCACATCTCAACGCAACCTATCTGTGGGACGAGACAGTCGGGTAACTCACCCCTGACAAAAACAAAACACTTCAGCAAAGTCACTTGGACACAGTAGCATTCGGGGGAAATCAGACGACGAAGAAGGATACGAGACACACAATCGCACGAAATGCATTATTCCTCGCTCCTGCTCCAGTACATGTCTACTGAAACTTCTCTTAAACATGGCTTAAGAAAAAGTTCTTTCGACAGAGACTTGATCTGCTTCTCGCTTGAGCTTGAGGAGTGCAAACCATTGATTGCGACTTTCTTCTGATCCTTCATCTTGAACGATTCAACTTAATGACTCGTTGATCTCAGGGTGAGCGTGAGATTGGATGATTGAATGATTTGAATTGGGCGAAGAGAAAGAAGCTCTGCAAGGGAATATATTTCGTTTTATAACTTTGGGAAAATAGATCCGAGCATCGGGCATCTCTCAGATGGAAAGGCACAGACGAAGGATCGTGCTCGTAGCTCATTTTAGTCAGAAAGCATTATTACGAGCTTACCATAGCTAGGACACGTTCGTCGGATGGATGGCACAGCCACAGGTGGGCACAACCGATCGCATGCGGACGACTAACAACGCCATTTCTGCAAGCAAGCCTACAGTATTGTATCCAAGACTGTTTCAACATGGCCCAACCACTTCTTGCCTGGCCCTTTTCCGGGTGTAACACGCCTTCATCGATACTGGCAGGGAGCGGGTTACAATTCGGGGACAATCTTGATAGATTGGAACGAGATGCCGTAGAGAGGTACCGACCTCATTCTGACATTTGGCCTTTTGTAGAGTAGGGATATTTCGTGAGCTAGCAGCTCAGCCTCTCCTTCAACGCCTCAAACCCACATCGTCAGGCACAGTTGCACCGCGATACGAAGGACGCAAAAGAGCTTTGCGGATGCAGACTCAGCCCTAATCATTTGCACTTGTTTTCCATGGTGCATTGTACAGTACATGGGCTCATCGAGGAATTTTGCAGGCGGAACATGTTCAAGTGCACATGCCAGGACGGCAGGAAGGCGGATCCCTCTTCATTTGTTAGCTTTCGCTTCATAATCAAAGCCCGATATCTTTTAATCATGAGATCGATGGTCGAAGCATTGTAGCACTTGACGTACTGTATACATCTTTCAACTTCCTCGGGTCTGCTTGTGAAGGTCCTGTGGTATATCCAAACAGTTCCTCGCTTTACTCAGTTCAGCTGTTTCTACACGACTGGTCGCGCTTCAGGTCCTTCGATGGCTTTGTGGAGAGAAGCTTGGGCTTCTTAAGTATCAAACTCAATACCTTTGCTCAGCTTAGCCCAACCATTCGTTAAGGAAATGAGCTTGGAAACCTACCGAGAACAACGAGGTGCTGAACAGGCTTGCCTCGAAGAAGTACGACTTTTCATTAAAGAGACAACCATCAAGGAGATAGAGTGCTAGACTGAGGGATAGCTGCATTCGAGTCGGTCAACATTTCTTCGATATGGTGAGAAAAACCTTTCTAAGTGATGCTATGGCAGAATCAGCTCGTCAGCTACGGAGGCATTGCACTTCAATACCAGTGGCGTCGCCTTGCCACGAACTCGAAATAGTCGTGCCCATCCACAGAATTTAAATATTATCATCTCGTCGACCTGCTCTTGCTCTCTACCTTCAGAGAGAAGGTGAAAGAGATAAAGTGCAGGTGGGTGAAAGACGAACATTGATCTCCTTCCGATCGAGACTATCATTTTGCTCTCGGCTGTTCGCAAGTGCTGGCAATCTTTGAACGGTACCCTCTGAAAAATTCATACAGTACCAGCGACGGATCTCAGTGTTGGTCTTACTGAACAGAACTGTTTAGTACACTGCCTTCATCATCTTGATGAAGAGCAGCTCAACGATTGTCTCAACAGCGGAAAAGGGTGGGTCCGTTGTGGCTGACAAAAGTTCGACCCACACTAACTCTGATATGAAGTTGTCTTTACGTGTCGTCTTTGCATCCCTTTTTGCCTCCCTTTTTAAGGGCAGACAAGAAACGGCGAACATCTCGAGACCCCCTTTTCTCTTGCTGCGTCCTCTTTCTCTTAGCATTCTTCAGGTTTCTTGATAACTCTCGCTCACTTCGAGGCAACCAAACAGTGCTGGCCTCTATCATTCGGGACTACACGATGAGAGCTCTTCTCTCGCTTAACATGACCAAGCTGCTGGCTTTGCTCTTGGTCCTTATGCCTTTCTTGCTTGTCGCAGATGGTCATCAGTACATTGACAATATGCCGCACCAGATCAGAATGGTTCGGTAAGTTCCACACTCTCCCTGCTCTCTCTCTTTTCCTCCTCACTTGACTGACGCAATGTTCATTCGAACATGACTTTATTTTCCTGCACAACAGTCATCGCCGAATCGAATCGCGATCATTCATGTCTTGGATGACGCACATTTCGGATAAAGCCTCGGACTGGATGTTCGGTTCAGTCCACAATCCCGCCAATGACGAATCTCACATACCCAAGCCAGCCGTCGGCGGTGTTGATGTGCTTCCCAAGATGCCTTACCCTTATGCCACCGGTATGATTCCTCGTCTGGCTAGCGAAACCCTGAGCGGTAACGGTCTGGTTGGAGGTTGGATGTGCATACACATCCAGCCGCCGGGTAATGCTCAGGCTAGCTTGACCCGTGAGGGTGGGGCTAGTGGCGGCGGCTCTGGTGCCGGGGGTGGTGCTGGTCTTGGAGCCGGGGGTGGTGCTGGTCTTGGAGCCGGGGCTGGTGCTGGTCTTGGAGCCGGGGGTGGTGCTGGTCTTGGAGCCGGGGGTGGTGCTGGTCTTGGAGCCGGGGGTGGTGCTGGTCTTGGAGCCGGGGGTGGTGCTGGTCTTGGAGCCGGGGCTGGTGCTGGTCTTGGAGCCGGGGGTGGTGCTGGTCTTGGAGCCGGGGTGGTGCTGGTCTTGGTGCCGGGGGCGGTGCTGGTCTTGGAGCCGGGGGTGGTGCTGGTCTTGGAGCCGGGGGTGGTGCTGGTCTTGGTGCCGGGGGTGGTGCTGGTCTTGGTGCCGGGGGTGGTGCTGGTCTTGGTGCCGGGGGCGGTGCTGGTCTTGGAGCCGGGGGCGGTGCTGGTCTTGGAGCCGGGGGTGGTGCTGGTCTTGGAGCCGGGGGCGGTGCTGGTCTTGGTGGAGGGACAGGATCTCCGTACCTCGGTTATGGCGGCTACTATGGGTCTGGAGGAGGAGCTGGAGGCATGAACAGCGGGACCGGAATGGGTAGAGGCGGAGGTAGCAGTGGATATTCAGGCGGCAATGGTTTGCTCAGCGGCTCAGGAAGCATGGGAGGCGGCAGTGGAGGCAATTACATGAGCGGAAGCGGCATAGGAGGTGGAAATGGTTACTCCAGAAGCGGTTTCGGTACTGGCAGTGTGGGTAATGGCGTCGGTACTGGCGATTTTGGTGCTGGCGGTAGTCAAGGCGGCTCCATTCCCCCCGGCTACATCCGCTACCAAGGCCAAGTGATGACCATCGCTCAATTTCAGCAAGCTCTCGCATCTGGTGCACCGTCTGGAGGCTCCTCGTCGCCCTATGTCCGCCGTCGAAGTTTGTTTTCATCCGACTCGTCCTCTCTGTCTACCAATACCTTCCTTGACAAGCGCCAAGCACCCGATTCTGCACCTCCTGCACTTGATTCTGCGCCCCCTGCTGACAAAAAACCGGCAAAGATCTTCATGTGCATCAATGGCGATCCAGACGTCCCACCTATCAAGTTCAACACAATGACCGGTCTCAAAATCCGCGATCCCGAAGCCCAGCAGGATGGGGTGGTCGAGATCACGAATCTTCCCAACTACCAAATGCCGTGGATGCCCTTCCTCCCCACCGCAGAAATGTGGGAAGAACAGCAAACATTAATGTTAGCTCAAGAAGAAATGATCGAGACGAACATGACCACTACCCCGCCTCGGTCTCGTTGAATCATCGATTCGTCCTTTGCAGCAAGAAGTGGCCCTGTTCCTTATCTGCTTATTTGGGCGTCGAAATTGATGCACGCTACAGTGTGTGTCTCGCTTTAGTTCCTCCAGTATATCGCTCAATCCAAAACTCTGATGATATTTTATTCGAAGATCCGTGTGCTTACAAACAGGAGTTCCTGCTGGATCGAGTATTTGCGACTATTGCTGGGACTCGCGTTTCGTATCGATGCAAGAATACTCCATGCTGCGGTGGGATGTAGCGAGGTCAGCATGTGTTTCGGTCCCAATGGCCGTATAGATTCGCCTGAGAGATCAGTCAATGTCAAGTATCGCAATTAGAGCATTCCCTTTTTTCCGTGCGTTGCAATGCAGCATGCTGGCACCACGACTCTGTTAACGATCCAACTTGGCAAAAGTGGTGCCACCAGCAGATACCGAGCTGGATCTGTACTTCTATCAGGCTCGAGGAGCGATGTTTCGTCACAGTGAGAATTTGCGGCGCAAGCATGTACAATAGCGGCAAAGGAGTAGGACTACATGAAGATTGTGGTTAGATGCGGACAGAACGACGCTTACTTCGAAGAGAACGATGAATGTTCCCGCTTGCCTTCTTCCAGTTATACAATGCGGCTTTGCGCTCCGCTGAGAAAGTGTGGAGCGGAATTTCTAGAGGATCGACACTCTCATGAGGGCGCCGATTGCCCAGCACCCGCACTGTAATTCGCTGATATCGTCAGAATAGTGCCTGAAGCGATTTGACGCAAATATGAGGATGTCGAGAGGATTTAGTTCGACGCAAACGCAATACTCATGCAAAGCAAGCCCTGCCTCTTTGCCAAAATTATACAGAAGGGAAGGACTGTCTTCTTTGTAATCCTTATGCAGCCTATGTGTAGCTCCTCCTAACAGCTGCGCTGTCGTCCTCAAATTTTGCATTAGGTCAGCATCAACGCCGAAAACTTCACGGGGTAACGCACCCTCTGAGGGGCACGCAGTTGTTGGTAGGTTATAATGTTTCTTTCACACTTTATACATATGTAGACGCCCCAATAGATTAACGGTCAAATCGTACCCTTCACACATGGAGGTCCCTACAATCGGGTAAGCTCTCGGTTCGATTCCGAGTTGAGGCATTTTTTTATTTTGTCATCTCGAATACGATAGGAAAAGGAGGAACCTTTACCGAGTCAAGGGTCTCGACATATGTCAAGTAACGCAGGTTGATAGTACACTGTTCCTGCACGAAGGTTGGACGACACGTCTGTTTCGCATTCCCTAGTATCGCCTCGGTAGGCTAGCTATAAACACAATTCTTGGCCAATCTGACTGTGGCACAATATGCTTAACCGAATTGAATGACAGGAATTTTGCCCTGAAACGTGAACAGCTTGATCGAGGAGCACCTCCGCTACCGGGTTTTGAATTGCGCATGCTTCAACATGCCGTGCAGTTGTCCGCTGTTATTAGCCGAGCACCAGTCCAGCAATGGTTTGATTTCGTCGAACGGGTCCGAACAACTGCAGCCAACATTTCCAATTCACTATGCAGAGAAGCTCCAGATAATACAACCATTCGCCCCTTTTGGCGTTCGGCAAGGAGAAGACACACGTGCAGAAGTCCTGACGCTACTGCCTCATTTTCGACAGCCCACACAAGATCAAATGTAAGAGACGTTCTCGACGCGCCCAGGCTTTGATGAAGACATCGTTTTCCGGCCAACAGCATGGACCATCTTGATACTCTATAGTCACACACTTGCCGTCATGCCTGCTGTGACGGATGACTGTGGGACGCATCAAACGCTTGCAGCAAAGCTTGCCGCGATTCATCGATTCTGCATGACGTTCTTTACTCCAAAGCAGCGAAACGTACGGTCAGAAGAGGCAACTGCTGTGTTGCTCTCCTCTGTACGCAGAGCAATCATACCCTCAACACGGTGTGCACTTGAATCACCTTTGAAAAGGTCGAGGAATTGCGCCCTGTATTAGCACGTGCATCCGAACGCCCAGCACCTGGAAAACGATGGCATTACTTAGCATCTCCTGCGAGCATTGGGCGATGTCCAGGTACAACAGATCTACTGGCTTGGTAGTGTACTCTTTCTAGGTCATCATCTACCAGAGGATTAGTCAAGGCTGCGAGAGGTTTTAAATTATGGCCCACTGTCAATGGCTACCGCTGCGTTTCGAATCTTGGGATGTAGAATATCACACCAACTGCAGACTGCAGCAGCAGAGGTCGTTCATAATTATAGGGGTATCATTCCAGGGACTTCGTCTGCCAAGAATGATTCATTTTGCTTTCTCCTCTTTTCAGTATGAAATTGCGTCAAAGCACGTGGAGGGAGGGGCAGCAACCTAAACCAACAGAGTGCATATGATTGCGTCCGCCGCGAATGGTTATTCAACTGTCCGCAGACATATGGGTTTGATACGCGGCTTCTTACGTATCTCGAGAAAATACAGCCTCTTTTTATCAGTGGATCAGTCGATGGAAGGCAACATCACAGACCCGATCCCTTTACGATGCGGTATTCTTCAAAACATGATCCGATGTCTGCTCTTACGATATCACTCTTGTGCCCTTGATTGCCTATGCTCGCACTTCTCAGGGTGGCGATCTTTATCGGGACAAACATTTCCTTTGCCGGAAGATGTTTTCGCCGTAGTCAAGAACAAGCGCAATTTGACAGCCTTCTGGGACTCACTTGACTTGTGCGGGATGGCTTCTCACGCCAAAAATGAGCAGGAATGAGCTTCAAGCTTTCTTCTCCGCACGCAAAGTGACGTAGGAGAAGGGAACCTTTTAGACGAGAACATTTTGTTTCCATCAACCGTTGATGACAATGCGGAGCGCGCACATCTTGAACCCATTTTCCGTCTAGATGGTGGCATATGGTATGCAAGAATCGAAAATAAGCTTGTCAGTATGCAGGCTAAGGTCCATATTCTCTCGGCGAGATACACTTCGCAAACAGCGATTCCCTCTTGCTTACCAAGCTATGGCATTCGGTACACCTTTGTCCTCTGCCACACTCTTCAGCTCAGAGTCAACAAAATGATCAAACCTTACCTCTGTTGCCGCCTCCGCATCTGTTCACGGTACGAGATTGTAGCCCCACCTCATCTTGGAGTTTTTGATGTCACATCCACAGGATACATGTGGATAGACCTGTTCGGCGAGGTCTTGTTCAATTTTACTAACGATTGACGATTGTTGGCAGTGCAATTTTCGTGCGCCGTCTCTTGAGTCTTTCATGTGGGATGAATATGAGGCCATACCAGCCCACTTGATCATCCAACATGGTCTGTACCATGACGCGCCTGTATCTTAACGGAGATGAACAGTATGATGACTGCTCAGTCACACTGTGTAGATGCTTTGTAAGCTCAAATGAAAGTTCGCAACAGCAATCTCGGGTCTGCGAACCGTCCAATGGATCAAACGTGGCGCATTCTTATAGAGGAAAACAGTAGCTACCATTGTCCGTGACAGATCCATCCAGGCAACACTGTGATACCCTTTTTTTCACACTCAAATTGTGCTGCTTTCAACCCTTGTAGAGTTTTTGTTCTTCTGTGTATCAGGGCCTCACGCCTCACGGCTTAGTCAAATTGCAGAGGCAAGCTAATAAACCTATACGATGAAGACAAAAAAAGAGCGGCAAGACCTGATGCCTAGCTCTGACAGACTGATCGCAAAAGGCCTAATAGCTATGAAACCTGCAAGAGGGGACTTCTCCAGTTTGTTGAGTGAGAGAGAGCCACAATGCATAGCCGAACGCCGATCTCGATCAGACCTGCGGAGACAAGAAGGTCTGAGAAAGACAGCCACGCGTAAAGGTGATGATAGACGTAAAAGGTTTAGATTTGGGCTTAGTTGATAACATAAGTCTCTGCACTAAGCACGCTCTGCTGGGAGAAAGTGGTGCTCGCGCTTGTATCCGTCAATATGACATCTGCCACTGCTACGTTTGTAAGCGTCTTTTCGCAAATAAAGTCGACCACCACCGGGAAGAAGACATCCACGTTCTCCGCTCCTTCTGTGACACTGAACTCGAGACTTCCCGACTTGTTAGCCGAAGAGATGGACTCGAGGCTCCACTCGAGGTTGTTGGTCTCCTCATTGACCGCCCATGAACCATCTGGGCATTCTACACTCGGCACGCTGCCCTCTGGCAATGGAATGGCAATGATAACACTTCGCAACTCGCCCAGCTCTTCGTTCTCCAGTTCGTACTCGATGCTTACATCACATCCACCTTGGCCATTGGGACTAGGCCAGCAGTTGATCGACAAGGGCAACGCGGTCTCGTCTTTGGTGACCATCCTCCATCGCAAGACACCGAGACTCTGGTTGACGGGGAACGGCTTTCGTGCATCCCTCGGCGCGATGATTCGATCCGAGCCCCAAGCCGCCTTATCCACTTGAGGATTGGTCTTGAACTGGAGATCGCCCGCACTGAGGACGAGATTGTCGGCATCCGGCTGTGCGAGTTGAATCCTCACCTTGGCAAGCGATGGATCGGTGATTTTGAGGAGCAGGTCACCCTTGATCTCGAGCGATTCGAGGCCTCCATCGCGGTTTCCAGAAATGGAGATGCGTTCTTTGATAATGACGTGGATAGGTTCTTGGTGGACAGGGTCGAGGAGATCGAGCGGGTCAATCGGAGCGGACGTAGCTGATGCTGTTGTAATTACACGGTCGGCACTAGAGGAAGCGGTGGCGGCAGCGAGGGAGGCAGAGGCGGCGTTTGCGGCAGCCGTGAGTTCGACATCCGCAGCAGCCGCAGCGGCAGCAAGATCACCGCCCATGGCACCGAGGAGGTCGGCACCTTTGGACTTTTTGCCGAGCTGCATTCCTTTGCCCTTGAAAGGCTTTGCGGCAGGTGTAGAGGTTGAGGAGAAGCCGGTCTGAACGGGAGCCTGTGTGGGTGGTGGTTCGAAACGCTGCTGAACGGCGGTGTAGCCGCCCGAGGAACCGAAACCGCCAGAGTTGGCGCCCATCTGACCACGTCGTGCAGCATCGCGACGCTGCATCTCGAGCTGCTTGGCACGTCGCTTGAGCTCCTCCTTTGCTTCCATCTCTTTGTTGCGTTCGATGATCTCTTGAATTTTTTCTTCGTGCGACTCCATCTCGAGGATGGAACGGACCTGGGTGAGATTTACATTCTCACGGTAACCCAAGGAAATGATCTCGTCAAATGCACCGAGGAGTTCGAAGCTGTAGCGAAGGACGGAGCTCTCATCGAGAGATCTGCAAATGTCGGAAGTGACACGGGCAAAGAGGTGGAGGGTATCGATGTCTTGCAAGATGTTGGAGTTCTTGTTGGTGATGAGGATCATGTACAGATCTTCGAGAGGTTGATAAACGAAGCGAACTGCATCTGTCTCTACAGAGGTGTGCTGAGAGCCGGCAGAGATGAGCTTGGGAAAAGAAGCAAGAAGACCTTCGATGCGTGATCTTGGCATGTCACGAAATTGGCGGCTGATGACAGGCTTGCCGCCTCGTGTAGAGACGGACGCTGCGAGAATGACCATGTTGTCGGCGCTACAGCTGTGTGAGTAAGATATGAGTTTGAAGGTAGCAGTTGGGTCGTAACGGTAAATGTGGTGTTGCTCGGAGCCAGATCGAGTGCTGTGGGTGCAGTACCCTCCAAGAACGAATTCGAGTTTTGGTAGATGAGCTGTGAAATTGACAGGCGCCACTGACTACTAGGGCTAGAATGGCACGTCGACACAGAATGAAGTGCCACGATGTAGGAAGACCCGAGGAGGATCAAATGCAAAGTGGTCGGATAAGGTGCGATGAGAGGGATGTCAGAATAGTGTCGAGATTGAAACGGAGAGCTCTGTGAAAGAGAGAGAGAGAGAGTGTGTGTGTGTGTGTGTTTGTCTCTGTGCGCACAACTGAGAACGGACACGAGAGTAACGCGGGAAATGGGCCGAATCACAATTAGTCCGTCCAAAAAGCTCTTTTTGAGACTTGATGAGCTGTTGCTTGTCCACAAAAAAAGAAACCAAAAAGCTGGACCAAGCGCAGCTCCACGTCTTCTTTGGCCTCTTGACTGTAGATCTGCCAACCTGGCGCGTGTGTGTCGCGCAGTCACAGAGTAATGCCATCTGCAAGCACG